CCTGAACCAATGGATCTTGAGATTGAGATTGACAAAGATGTTACAAACGTCTCATAGTTAACAGACACACCATTGAACATACAGAGGATGAAGGGGGTGCTAGGCAGGCTCGCGCTGTCCACGTGTCGCTATGAATAGTGCACAGCAAACGCATCGAGCGAGGAAAAGATTAGGATTGGGGCCTCTCTCTCCCGTGAAAATATCTTCTCTCTCCCTCATTTCGCTACTCTTTTCCGTGCCGCCGCCACCCCCCTCCCTCTCGGCCGCAGCCTCCTCTCCTCCGCCTCCACCACCTCCTCCTCCCCTGCCTCTCCTCCGCCCATGTCTCTTCACCCCCTCCCTCTGCCTCCGTGCTCAAAAGGAGGAGCCGGGGTCGCTGCCGCTGCGCCTCTACATCGTCCTCACACGCCGTCGTCCTTGCCATTCTGCCGGTGGAGAGCTCCTCCATGATGGCATCCACCGGATCTTGCCGGCCCAGATCCACACGCCTCCTCCTTCCTCGGCAGCTCGTGGAGCCCCATGATGCGTCAACGACGCGTGGCCGCACTCGGTCGTGCTTCCCGCCGCTCCTAGTCACCCGGCACCGTCCCGCCGACGCGGCCCACCGCACGCTGCCACCAGCGTCTTCTTCATGGCGGTAGAGGCGCAGCTTGGGCCCGGGGACCCTGCCGGCGTGGGTGCGACGGCGCCGGCTTCATCTCCATGGTATTCTCTCTTCTCCAATCTCCTCTTTCAGTTCTCTCTCCTTCTCTTTCTTATGTACTCTCTCCCTGATAAATAGAGAGGGCCGAATCAGGATGGATCCAAGCTACCGACGCCTTTGATGCCATGGACGAGCCCTCATCCAGCGACCAAGGAAGGCAGGAGAAATCCCTCCTCCTTGCATTGTTGCATCACCGCATCCCCACGGTAGTCCAGGAGGAGCTCGACCGCCTGCTTTGAGAAGAAGAGATGGCAGGAGGATGAGGCCTGGGCTTGACAAGAAGTGGGTTGGAGCAAGAAGTAGAGCAGGCAATGCCCCTCTCTTCATTGGCATCTGCACAGCCAAATCAAGGACCTAAGCTCCTGGTAAGATCCTCTTTCATTTGTTTTCTTTTTCTTTCATGCCTGCATATCTCTAACTTTTATTAGTTTACCCTTCTAATTTGTGTGATTAATTTGTTGGTTATATTGTTGTTACTAGCTCCTAATTTGGGTGATGAACAAATGATTTAGATTTTGTGTGTAAATCTGAGACGCTACATTGGTTTGGAAGTGAATTTGTAACCTTTTGTTTAATTTAATGGCATGCTAAAGCTGATGCAGATGTCCTGTATTTGCTAATGTTATCCATAGGAACCGCCCTCCTATGCCCTACTCCTCTCGCATTAGCGCAAATTTGGCTCCTCCCCGCCTCCGTCTCCACGTGTGCAGCGACAACCCCGGGAGGAGCTCAAGCCGCAGAGGTGGTCCATGGTGTCGTCGCCGTCATCCTTGGCAGGAGAAGCGTGGGCTGCAGAGATGGTCGGATCTGTCCGATCCTTGCGCTGCTGTCCGTCCACCATCGAGGTTCGTCCCTGCATCCTCGCCTCCATCCTCTCTCACCGTCATGTATGCCCTCGTGGCCGAACGAGGCAACGTGGAAGCTGTGGTGGCGCAATGACATCTTTCCTTGTTTCTGTACTTGTTGAAACAATCAATGGCCTCTTTTTACCTGCAGGATAATGTGTTTGTTCAGCTGATTTGTATAGTTTCAATACCGGGTTGTTAAGGAGAATGCAGATGATGCATATTCCACGAGTTGCAGACCCCCCAACAGCAAATTCAGTCCTACGTTTTTTATGGTACATATTAATATTTTGCCGTGTCCTTATACTGCCCTGGTCAATCCAAATTGGGTTGGAAGGTCTGTTTTAATTTGGTGTTACCTGTAAATCATTTTATATGCTATCTACTCTTCATGATTGAAGTGTAAGTTTTGCTCCATAATTGACTAGAATGAAAGAGGCTTGATTCACATAATACCTAATAGAAGATCACTTTACTTTAGTTATGCAAATTCCTGGAGGGTGTTCCATGGTCGTCATGAGTAGCAGCTGCTGATATTGCTGCTTTCACCTCCGCGTCGGCCCCGGGCAAAGCTGCAACCTTCTCTTCCCCCTCCCCCTAATTCTCCTTATTTCTTCATACATTTGGTTATATTCTATTTACATCCCAAAGGTTACAATTAACTGTACTACTGTGTTATTTTATTAGTAGTCAAGAGAAGTATGCAGTGTGATACTTAGTGTCGTATTCATTGAATTTTTTTGATCATTCAAAGGTTACACAGAGATGGCTGGCTCCGTCCTGCTCCGGTGATGGCTTCCATCCACTCGATGAACAGGACTACACGGGAGATGTATGACGACCTAGCAAACCCCCGTCTGGTCAGCAGGTACAATGCCCACCTTTGCTCGATTTGTGACTTTGGGAGGAATTGGAGATAGGAAATGCGGAGATAGGTTGCTGGATGGCGATGCAGGCGTATTAGCGCCAACTCAAATGCCTGCAACTTGTGAGGAGTGATGTCGTTTATTTACCTGTGATGTATTAATATATCTAGAATCTTGGGAAGAAGCTATTCACCATGAGGGTTTTAATTCTATGTCATATTTCATTTAATTTTGCTCAAGTTCGCAGCCTCTTTGTTAGGCACTTTCAGTTTGTAACTCGAAGCATCTCATTTTTCTGGTATTTGCATGTTCAGGTCAAGATGTACATTCTGGCTGGGCCAAATGGTCAGTCCACTGTATATAGTTGCTGCATACTGTCTAAAACTGTTTAGCTGATAAGAACATTTAAGCAAGTTGTGTTTTGTACCATACTGCATTGAAATTTTCATCGAGAAATATTTTAAGACTTCATAGTTATTTCAATCTGCCTTCACAAAGTAGAGTAAATGAGAAATTTATTCTATTGGTTACAAATCAGTGACTTCTGGTACTTCAAAGTTTAAAGCAGTATACAATATGCAATGGTCTATGGAGTGCAATTGCTGAAATTTCTCAGTACTCCCTTCTGTATTTTGCTTTTTCTTGAGTAAGGCCGTACCAAATTATGGTTCAAACTTATGTGTATTCACATATTGGATGTTGGCCTAACAGAGGTCAAAATGTAAAATAGTCAGGGGTCTGCTCTCTGCCTCGTGTGGATGCAACATGCTTGTCGAAATTTAATTCTGTAAAAGAGAAATACTGATATAACGCAATGATCAATGTGGAGTAGGATAGTTATAGAGTTCTTCCTCGGTTTTCATTGAGCAAAGATTGGACATGTTTGACTCTTCTGTTGCCGTAATTACCTCTCTAGGTTTGGAGAAATTTATGATCACCATGCACATCCCCATTACTTCCACTTATGATTTTGTATCTATATGTAAAGTCATTTGTCCTGAAATTCTATGCAGAAATATTCTGATACTTTTCCTTATGAGCCGGTGGAAGCCAATGAGGGTTCCCCATCCGATGCTTGGTGCGGAGAAGGGGTCGTTCTCCTCTCATGCGAGCAGCCCAAGTGCTGCCTGATCCTTCCGTCCAAGATGGAGGTGGTGAACATCGATGTGGCGACGCCTGATGCGTACACGAGGCCGATATGTGTTGTGTCTGATGTAATTTGGAACTCTGGAATTTTCATGGCTGAATGTTTGTCTTTGTGCTTGAATTCATTTGTGTTTGATGTACTATGAATTAATGATTAGCTTTCCGATTGACTTGGTTCTATCTTTTGTCCGAATCAATTGAGAAAAATCTGAATATATAGCTGAATGTGGTGGTTTCACACATTCTGAACGAAGCTCGCAATGAGTATACCTTGCTTATGAAATCATGAGCTTATTTATTCTATGAAAAAGAGATAAAGTTGTAGTATAGTTTGCTCAACAGTGTGTGCAGCAGTATAGATTGAGCAAGGCACAATCTGAGAAGTAGAGCACAAAACTAGAAACAATGTGTGCATCACGTGTATGTTTGCTCAACAATGTGAGAGTATAAGAATATGCAGTATAGTTTGCTCAAAAATATGTGCATCAGTGCAGATCGAGCAAGGCACAATATGAGAAGTAGAACTAAATATCATATACAGTACTTCTGAATAGCAGTACATCAATAATCAGGAGGAGCTACAAAATTCACACTGAATCAATGAGTGCCGAAGCTACAACTTCAGACAAATATTTACACGAAAAGTTGTAGCCAAAAACACTATGGGCCTGTTTGGTTTGCAGCATAAGCTTGCCACGCCTAACCTTAGTCGTGCCATAATAATTTAGGCATGTGTTTGGTTTATTGCCACACTTGTGGCTTGCCACATTTTTCTAGCCACTTGGTCCACATGTCATAGGCTCAACTT